GCCCACCTCCATTCACTAATCCCATCTCCAGATTACATAAATTCTTCTTCAAGGGGTTCTTCTGGATACAGCAGTGCAGCACAAAACTTTAGGAATGCAACAGCAGCTGTGATGACTCACGGAAAGGCTTCCCCTTTTCTTGTTTCTTGTTTCCTCACAATCACCTCCAGTTGACCTCAGCATCTGGAAGTGAGTCATAATCACCTCAGGTGTTCAGTTGACTGTTGTTTTCATACATCACATTTAATTTGATTACTCAATGACCTCATCTTCTGGACTTATTTTGATTCAATACATCGAACTCTAAACTGAACAAACAGCCCTCGTGCATACAAGATGTTTAAAAAAGCTAACCAAGCTTAGCAGATTGTGCAAATGCATCTTTCAAAACTTTCCTTGATCTGATTAAGTCTGCTGAATGAATGTAGCCAGTAACTAAGCAGCTGGGATTTTGCTTTCTTTTTGAAGATGCAGTTTTCATTCCACTGGCATGTTGTGTGAAAATGGCCTTTCTGTTGTTCTTGAGGTTGGGTTCATACACCAAATCACAATTCCTGTTCTCATATGGGATGCTACATCTCCCTAGTGGACTTAATGTAGATTAATGATTCACACAGCACATTATGACAATACTGTAGCCGAATTCCTGACTCCTATGAGTCCTACCCAACAATCTACCCAACTTTATCTTACTTTACTTGAGCATGTTGTATGAATCTAGCCAATATTAGAACTTCTGGAGAGAAGCAACAATAACAACCACCACGGATGGCCAGAATCTCCAGCTGCTGCCAGCAGATTTCCAGGATGCTAGTGATATATTCTTTATTTTGCATCTTCTGGTTTTGCGTCTTCTTCTCCCACAGACATAGCACATTTACCCTTTAGTACACTTCTGTCCTCAAACTTTAATAAAGCACAGTATCATGCTGGCCAGTCCAGACAGAAGGAAATTGTAAAATCTGGAGCAGTATGCAGTGTAAATGGATGCCATGGCTACATTACGCTAAGCTAGGCTAAGATGGGCTTTATGATTTGGTGTACTGTGGGATTTCTGCCATTGTTTCCACATGTATCCACAAGCCAACATGTCAGGCCATAATTCAGGTTATTTGTAATATATAGGTCATCTAATGGGAACACAAGATCTTTTAATGTGGGCTCAATATATCCGATGACCTCGACTGCTGAATCAGACTGCCTTCCTTCCCTGAAAGTTTGCACTTTTCAAAAACGCTTTTGAGGAAGACGGTGAATGAATGTTAAATGGTGCAATCAAGAAATGTAGCCTGCAAAATTTACAAAAGGCAAAGGATTCACCTGAAACATAAGGAATCAAATGTATGTTGGAATTTCAATAAAGTACAACTTACATTCACTTCTTTTCACTGAACTCCTGCACCTAGCCCAGGGGTAGGCAACCTTGGCTCTTTTATGACTCGTGGACTTCAATTCCCAGAATTCCTGAGCCAAGGTTGCCTACCCCTGACCTAGCCTAAACGTTTCTGCTGGCTTCCTGTTACGAATGTGTTTTTAGATATTTGCACTCGTTGCTTTAATATTGGCACTCTTAAATATCCTATCTTCCGACCCTGCTGAGAGATGATAAATTACACTTTTTCCCCTCCCTGCCCGCGTTGCGGATGTTCCCTCCTCCTCCCTTCCCCGTTTCTGAACAAGGAGGGCAACGATCTTGAGGACCGGAAGCTCAACGTTTGCATCCGCACTGAAATACATTCATTATTAATACTGAGCCTGATTCTGAATATACAGCATGCCTCATCCGCAAAACGAGTGGCTAAAGAGGCAGTCGCCATGCTCAATAAACTGGCCACAGAACAGACGCCCTTTGGGGGAAAGTCTGCGAAGACTGGATCGCTGAGAATCGCTCCAGATAGGAAATAGCAACAGACCGAAGGGAGAGGGGGCGGGAGAAAGGAAATTTCGCAGCCTCCTTTTCTTAGAAGAGAAGGTGTAATCGAGGAACAAGCAAATGCGATTAATCAATCATAACATATTGGCGCCATATGCTTTTAAGCGGTAGGGGGGGAAATCCCAGAAGCAGCGCAAAATCTCCTGGGGAGGCTTTTCTCTGCTAGCAGTTGAGCCTTTCCTCGCTATGTATTACAAATCGTCAAGGTTCGCAAGTTTCTTTTCTTCCTCACTTCCCTTAGCTGCTTAGCAGATCCCGTGCCTTGCTGATTCACCCGCGCTAACCGGCGTTTCATGAGCAAGCAAAGGCGCCTGGAAAGCCACGGCTGAGGAAAATGCACCCATGCCGGGTGATGACTCACCCCCCATCCCGACTTTTTGACAGCCCCCACCGTCCCAAGGGACGCTGAGCCCCATAATAAGGAATGCCGTTCCTTCTATATAAGTGGGCCATCATTCCTTCCGGAATTCCGGGAAATTAGAGGCCGCTCTTCCCGGCACTCCCACCAGCCTTCCTCTCTTCTTTGCTCTCCTCCAGATGTTTCGGAAACTGGCCTGCCATCCACCCATCATTTTGCAGGCAAAGTTGGGAATGCTGGGAACTGTGATACCAATAGGCCAAACTGCAGAACGCTACTCCCAAGTCTGGAAGCCCAACTTACTCTTGGTGGATCTATGTTTTAAAAAGTTACATTTAACCTGTATAATAAAATACAGAAACATATTATATAGTGTATAGCAGTGGTTCTCAACCTGTGGGTCGGGACCCCATTTGGGGTCAAACGACCATTTCACGGGGGTCGCCAAACAACGCAGTCCGCCATTTTTTCCCCTTTTCCTTAGCTGTGCTACTCCCTTTTATTCTATTGGCTTTTGAAAGCCAATAGAATAGACTATCTTGAATAGAGTCTAATTCTCTTGGCTTTCAAAAGCCAATAGGAATTGTCCAGGCTGTCTCTGCCCTGCTGAGCCTGCCAAAAGTCCCATTCTGCAAACGGTGCTGCACCAGTTGAGTAGTCCTCGACTTACGACCGGTTGAGTAGTCCTCGACTTACGACCGGTTGAGGGGTCACGGCATTAAAAAGGTTGAGAACCACTGGTGTATAGAGTGTGCTGGTGGGAGAAATTGTGGAAAAAAAGAGGTTGGCTTCAACAGCTGCCACAATAACAGAATAACAGAGTTGGAAGGGACCTTGGAGGTCATCTAGTCCAATCCCCTGCTCAGACAGGAAACACTATACCAGGGATAGGCAACCTTGGCTCTTTTATGACTCGTGGACGTCAGGAATTCTGGGAGTTGACGTCCACGAGTTATAAAAGAGCCAAGGTTGTCTACCCCTGCCCTATACCTTTACAGATAAAACTTGGTTGCCAAGTTGGTTTGGTTTTGTTTTACCCCTGCCACCTCTGAGCATATACAGGTAGTCCTGGACTTAGGACCACAACTGAACCCCAGATTACTGTTGCTAAGTGAGTTTTGCCCCTTCTTAAGACATTACATGCCACAACTGTTAAGTGAATCACTGCAGTTATTAAGTTAGTAACACAGTTGTTGAATGAATCTGGTTTCCCCACTGACTTTCCTTGTCAGAAAGTTGCAAAAGGGGATCACATGATCCCAGGATGGTGGAACCATCATAAATATAAATCAGCTGCCAAGAGTCTGAATTTTGATCACATGACCATGGGGATGCTGCAATGGTCGTAAGTGTGAAAAACAGTCATAAGTCACTTTTTTCATGCTGTTGCAACTTTGAGCGGTCAATAAACGAATGGTTGTAAGTCAAAGACTACCTACAATACATTTATATAATACAGTTACTGAATCTAACTCATTTTCTGATTTGGTATAGTACGTAAATCATAAACTAAGAAAATCCCAAACAGATTAGGTTCAGCCACATGGTACAATGAACCAAACTTAACGTATTGTGCCAGCAGTTAAGTATGGGGTGTAAATTACAGCCAAAAGAAACAAACAGTGGCACCTGGCAGTGTTCCCCTCCCCACCTGAGAATTTTGGTCATGTGTTCAAATCAGTTGTTACCAACATTGGGTCAAGACAAGAAATGAACACTGTAAACCAGTACCAGTAGCAAAATGAGAAAGAGCAGGTTTTGCTTGTCACCCTCCAGATTTTTTTTCAAAAGTATAGCACTAGGACAGTGGTTCTCAACCTTTTTAATGCTGCGACCCCCCAACCGGTCGTAAGTCGAGGACTAATCAACCTGTCGTAAGTCGAGGACTACTCAACTGGTGCAGCACCGTTTGCAGAATGGGACTTTTGGCGGGCTCAGCAGGGCAGAGACAGCCTGGACAATTCCCATTGGCTTTTGAAAGCCAATAGAATTAGACTCTATTCAAGATAGTCTATTCTATTGGCTTTCAAAAGCCAATAGAATAAAAGGGAGTAGCACAGCTAAGGAAAAGGGGGAAAAAATGGCGGACTGTGTTGTTTGGCGACCCCCGTGAAATGGTCGTTCAACCCCAAATGGGGTCCCAACCCACAGGTTGAGAACTGCTGCACTAGGAGAAAATGGTTTTTCAAATCCTGGTCTGGCTGTATGCCTTCCTGGTCTTTTAAAATCAGCACTTGGTTTCGGATCATTTTTGTTTCAGGATTTTCTGCTCTTGAGAAATTGTTCTCAACCTTTATATTATTTGATTGTCCATTACCAAGTTCAGGTATTTAGTTTCCTTTTCTTTAACTCTTATTTTTAGAAGGAGAGCAAGCCTAAAAGAGTTCAAATGTATTTCTGCTTCATTGGCAAAAATAATACTGAGATACAAAGTTTGTAAAATGATAGTGGGTCTGTATTTTTTCCCTTGTTGAAGGGATGGGAAATTCCCAAGGCAGCCACTAGAGATTTGGTGAGCATCCAGAATAACAGCTTCTAGTGCTATCAATAAAAAACCATGTGTAGACAGTTTGTCTTTTCCTCTTTAATGTATATACCAACAAAAACCAGGGTAATTCCACAATTCCACAAAAGAGACTATTTTGCAGTAAAAGACTCATCTGGAATGTTTTAAAAATTGTTCCAAAGAGTGGAAAACATACTTAAGAAGACTGCAGTGTGTGATCAGGTATTGCCCCTATGACGTGCCAGGTTTTTGTCTTTCTTTATATGGACAATTGCTAGACCTTTGTTTGGAAACAGCCCAATTATAGGTCATCAAAGCAATGAAGGGATTGTGAGGACCAGAGGGTGATCTTCCTCTGGTCTTTGTCCTGTCCCTCACTTAAGGGAAGACATCTAATTTTGAACTCCATTTCCATCTATCTAAACTGAGAAATGCTGCAAGGAAATATTATCCTAGCAGTGAGAGTCTATGGCTAGCTCAGTCTGAAAGTAGCCCTTGGAGGATATTTCTGGAATAACCCAAATGGCAGTGCCTCCCATCATCAATGCAATGGACTTAGCAGGAACTACACACATACAAAAGCTTTTCTCATCAGAAAAAAACTATAGTACATCCATTTGGGATGTAACCTGGGCAAATCTCTTCCCTATTTCTAATGAGCCTAGCCATCCTGTTCCTTGTAGACAGGTCTTCATAAAGATAGAAGGTTGTCCAACCAGCAAATATAAGGAGAAGATTGCCTCCATAACAAATGCTTCTGCCCTGGCCAAATTCTGGGAAAGGGAAACTGGTTCTGGCAGAAACAGGCCACTGAGAATTCAAACTAGCCATAGAGTAGTCAGCCTCATTTCCCAATTCAACCCCCAAATTATAAAATCAATATAAAAAGGTCAAACAGAATCTATTCTTGTGCAAAATTATAGAAAACTTGTAAAGGAATTGTTTGGGACACATTCCTTCCCCATCCTTTTCTTTTACAGACCGCTCTTCTAATCTTTTGATAGACAATTGGACTCATATTTAAAAACAGATGTGTCAGTCTTCCTGTAAATGTGTACACCAGTGTGTATTTGCAGTCTATGTAATGTCTTAACAGTGCTTTCTCAATATAGGTCAGGCATTGCATACATAGATAGATGCCTTTATGGAAACAGCTGTCTATTCTCTCCTAAAACTCAAGTCAGAGCAGTATCCACTAACTGGAGGGGAGGACCCATGCTATGGCAGCCTCGAATGGCCAATAGTGGGGTAAATGCTAGCCTTGACCTTCCCCTTTCCCCCTTCACAAGTCTCCCATTTAATTATGAGAAACAGGCTATTAGAGCTACTTAAATATCCAGATAGATAGCAGCAAAGGGGGGGGGGAATCTGTTGAGTTTTTGTGTCCAGATATGGCAATGCTAATAAAAAGGCCAAGAATTCCCAATATGTATATGAGATATAGGGGAGACAATAGAAGAAGCTAGGTATGTGCAGGTATGTATAGAGGAAAAATATAAATAAAATGTGTCAGGGCAGAGAAAATAAATAAAGTTGTATATTCAGAGGAAAGGATGCTTTAGACTGCATGTAAAGGAAGATGTGCTTGTAATGTTTTGTCTGGGAATACAAGGGCAATTTTTGCTGGAAATGATACTGATTAGCTAATAACATTGGAAGAATGGAATATATGAAATATAAAACTACTAATGGGTTCAAAAAATGGGAAAGGAGGACGCCAAGACTGCATATCGTCACCAAGCTATTTAAATTATATATAGAATATTGCACCAGACAATTTAGGTAGCTAGAAGTGAGAAAGAATTAAGAAATTTCTTTCTGAAGAAAAGGCAGATGTGCAAAAGCCAATGTGTTGCTCATAATCAAACTTCCTAAAACTGTATTGCTTCCTAGTGCCACCATAATGCAAATAGGGCAAATAGTAGAACTGATAATAGACTCTATTTTTCTGGCTCAAAAGTCCACAAAGACATCACACTGCCATCAAGGCCATGGTCTTCCCTGTTACAACATATGGCTGTGAGAGCTGAATCATCAGAAAAACTGAGCAAATAAAATCAATGTCTTTACACTGGAGGTAATTGTTGACAATATCTTGGACAGCAAGAACAACAAACAGTTTGATACAAGATGATTAAAAACAGATTCTTATTGGAATAATGAAGTTAGATATTTTGGACACATATTGCATAATCCTTTTTGACAAGCATGCTTTACTTGGGTACCTTGACTAAGTGACATTGTAGGAAGAGAGCCATCTTAGCCTAAGATAGTCAAATATCAGCAAGACACTGGTAGCACCTTTGAAAATTAACAGTGGAAGTGAGCTGTAATTCAACAAAATTTATGCTTTATAATAAAATGTGATACTTAAAAGGTGCTATAGACAATTTCTGATTCTAGGTAGTTTGTAGTTTGATTTGCTGACTTAAAGAGTCTCTTGAATTGTGGGACTATGTGAAGGCATAGGCTTCCCTTTTCCAATGAGATTGCAACAACTTGAGATAATTTTTCTGTAGATTTCAGAAAAAGAATTAGTATTATAAAATGGGGGAAATTACTGCTTAGTGTATCAAACCATAAACAAACTGTAAGGACTGAAGTAATATGCAGGATCCAAAATCAGCCAAACCAAGTGAAGGTTTAGAAAAGTATTGGACCACAAACAAAGAGGCAGCCAATGCCAGATCCTTTATTAGCATTCCCACTGCCATGTTCTGTCTTAATTGACTATGCTGAATCTTCTTTATTAAACACACGCTACACATTTAACCAGAAAGCAACTAGATCTTGTGTAAAGGAAACAAGACTCTTGCCTTGTTGAACTGCTGCCAGTCTCTCCCTGAACTTACCTCAAATCCCCATATTTCCACATCATTTGATTTTCTCCGAGAAAGTTTAAGAGATCTTATCTACCTTAAGGCAATAATTAAACAATCTCCCATTAACAAGGGAGAATACCAGAATGAATGGCTTAAACCTGCTATGTTCAGACCTGACAACATGTGACATATAGCGCACATCAGGATATTCTGTTAAACATAGGGTTTTTTTGGGGTGATGGTGAGCACAGTATGTTATGTCAGCAAAGCAGTTACATTTTGCTAACCAAAATTTAAGATCATGATGTGTGAACACAGCCAAAGAGGAGAAGAGATTTGAAATTAATAGAATAGAATAGAATAGAATAGAATAGAATAGAATAGAATAGAATAGAATAGAATAGAAGCTGGAAGGGACCTTGGAGGTCTTCTAGTCCAGCCCCCTACTCAACCAGGAGACCCTATATACTATTTCAGACAAGTGCGCGATCTGATCTGTTGGATAGCATTTTTTTCATTTATATTCTCCACCCTCCCCCAGGTCCCAGCAATGCCAATCCAAAAATCCCCTCCGAGAATGTGCACGGGATTGCTTAGCCTGGAATGCAAAACGAAGAGAAGCTTCTGCCTTTCCGGTGAAAGGGAGAGCGACGTTTTTCCAGGATTGCGCAAGACTTCGCTCCAGCACAGCACAGAACTGGCGACGATCGGCAGACTGTTTCTTCAAATTCTCGGCTCCGCCCCCTTTGCTGAATATGGCGGAGTTTTCGAAGTGAGCTCATTCTTGGAATTCCCAGCCGTAGCTCTTCTCTCCTCCCTCTTAGAAACCACCATATAAGCGAAGGGGACCATGGAGACCGTCACAAGCTTTCCAGGTTCTCTCAGCAGCCAACCCACCTCTTCCTATCCTCGCCACCATGCGCGCTTCCGCTCAGACGGCCGGCTCTCTCGCGCTGCTGCTGCTGATGATGATGATGCTCAGTTCTTCGATTCTAGGTCAGTCCGAGCAAGTCTGAAAAAGGGGATCGGGAAAGAAAAGGGTGAGGACGGGTCTCTCGCTTTGCTGTTGAGCCCGAGGTGACGGGGCAGAAGAGAAAAACGTGAGCGGGCGGGAGCGGTTGTCCCAATCCACTTTTCTTTCTCCCGTCCCTAAGAAAGGGAAAGTTATTGAGGAATCTCCCTGTCGAAACAGGCCCGTTGTTTTCCTCCCACACTGTTTATTGATCAAACAGTGATTGCAGCCCTGTAGAAGCAGGGCAGGAAACCTTAAGGTAACCTTGTCCTCAAGTAACTAACATTCATTCAATGACTGTTCAAAGTTAGGATGGAATTGAAGGAAGGGACTTATGACCAGTCCTCAAAGTTAGATAAGACTTTCTGATAAGCGTTTTTACATAATGAAAGGAAAAACCTTTCATAGACACTGATACAGAGTGTCTATCATTGCTGAATAATCAGTCCTCTTCTTCCATTTATTTTGGAGTTCCAGGGCTCCAGAGTAAAACAAAACAAAAAACAAAAAAACCACGAATTTTTGGCAAGCACAAGCCTTATTGTCTTTTACTGTATTTCAGAAATCAAAAATTGCTCTTCCACTTACTTGTGTTTTCATCTCCTCTCTTAGCATCTGATCCCCCAACCTCCTGCTGCTTCAGCTACACAAAAAAGAGGATTCCACGTACTCACGTGATCGATTTCTATCAAACAAATGGCAGATGCTCTCAGCCAGCTGTTGTGTAAGTATCACTTCCGAAGCAGTTTCAACTATCGGGCATAGAGCATAGAGGTATACTGAGAACGGGCTAAAGCACCCTCATAGATCTACCGCCATTACTTCTTTGTATCTGTACCTGCTAGAGCAAAGATGGTTAACATAATCCAAGTGCTGCAGATAACTTCCAAATCGTCCAGAAATTTTATCATTGACATTTAGTGGCAAAGAGCTGATGGAGTGGCAAAGAGTTTTATTCTTTACTTATTATATTTATATACTGCCATAATCAACCCCCATTTTTCTGCCCATAGGTCAGTAAAAGAGCTAAGCATCTAAAACAAATGAAAAACAAAAGCAATAAATAAAACTAAAAGTATTATTCATAGAAGCCAAAATTTGGCTCAAGAGGATGTTTAACTTTTTTTTTGAAAGTGAAAAGAAAGTACATCCCACGAGAACAATACTGAGTAATTAATTTTCACATAAGCTTTTCTAAATAACCAGACATTTTACTGGATGTATAGAATATAGTTCCTACTATTTGGTAAGGGCGGGAAGAGTATTAAAAAGATAGATAAGACAGTATTACCTAGAATTCTTGGCCAATAATAAAGCAGATATAACAAGACATTTCTTTCATCGGTCTATATTAATATAGTAACAGAGTTTGCACATTGGGGAATCATACAAATTCATACAGTGTCTGACATACAAATTCATATAGTGTTATCTTACTTTATTTTGAAAATCAACTAACTGGTTTATTTTAAACATGGCTAAAACAATCCTAGTTTACTGGTTTATGTAAATCAAGTGGGGTGATAAAAAACTTTGGCCTTTTTTAAGTGTGAGAAATGTTACTACATTTTCTAATGTATCTTCTTCAAAATGAAGTATGGACTTCAGCCATCAGAATGGCCAGAGTAACCATTATGGCGAAGCATGGGAATTCTGGGGGGGGGGGTCAAATCGATATAGCTGAGGATCCCCAAATTGGGGAAGCCCATCCTAATGAAATTATGTAATTTGCAGTATTTCAGGGAGGAGGTCAAGTTTTCCAGATTAAGGTTTGAGGACTAGATGCTTGAAACCATATACACTATCTTCCATGCTCAGCATTTAATTGCTACATGGAATAACTTAAGGGAAAACAGAAAATCTTGGAAATTAGAGTTCAGGTGAAGCAGAATATGTGATTTTTTTAAAAAGCCAGTGGAAAGCAGTGCAATTAGGTGTGGAAACAAAATTGGAAGGAATAATTTTTGTTATTCTTATTATTCCCTCCAGGTTCATCACACGGAAAAAACTGCAGATTTGTGCCAATCCCTTAGAGAAATGGGTCCAAGATCATATGAATTACTTGAAAGTGAACAGAACAGTGCATGCAGCTGTGGCAAATTAGCAGAGATGAAACCCCAAGGGCACAACAGGACTGCATACATTCTTACTTAATTAAGCAATTCTCTAGGTGCAACTGCACTTTAATCTCAGGAATTTATTTTAAAGTATTTAAAGTATTTTATTTGGGAAATGAATGTTCACTCCTACTAATTATTTTATTTATGAAACAAGTACAAGATAAATAACTTTTTATATGTTTGTATGTTTGTGTGTTATAATGTGCATCAAAGCAAAAAAATTGTGTTAATAAATATTTTTCTACCAATATTATCTCTAAAGACTTATTTCCTTCCCCCACCCTCCACAAATTGTGGAAAAATTCTGCCTGAATACTTTCAAAATCTTAATGATATATAAGCTCTCACACTCTGTATATGTTCACATTCCATTTTAGACCTTAGTTATATTTTATAGTTATAATTAATAGCTTAATTAATTAATTAATTAATTGGATACTATTCTGTATGTTCCTAGCATACAACAGCAATTTGCAATAGGATTTAGACTTATATACTGCACCATAATGCTTTACAGCACTCTCTGAATGGTTTATAATGTCAGCATATTGCCCTCAACAATCTGGGTCCTCATTTTACCAACCTTGGAAGGATGGAAGCCTGAGTCAAACTTGAACCAGTCAGGATCAAACTCCAGACTGTGGGCAGAGTCAGCCTGCAATACTGCATTCTAACTACTGCGCCACCGTGCTAGTATTCTGAATGTGCTGGACCAGTAATGTAATCACCTGGCCAGAGCATGTATTAGCTATGAGAACTGTATGTTAGAATGTTTGGCATTTAAAGGGTTAAGTGCTGTCTCCTTAAGAGATGGCTTATGGGTAATGTAGTTTTAGCTGTTCAGTGAATCCTATGTTAACAAGTCAGTGGGAGGGGTTACTAAGTTCATCACAGGATATCCTGGCTACATGCCAGCTTGTAAAAGAAGCCTTTGTGAAGAAAGACACAAGGCGATATGTCCCATAAGAGCCATAGGGTGAGTTCATTATCAATCTTTCACCCAAAAGAATGGAGAAAGTCATGATATGTTCACCAGAAGAACTCTTCTTGACTGTAAGTTATTGTTTGAGATTCCTGTTGAATAAATGATCTAATACAGTGGTTCTCAACCTGTGGGTCGGGACCCCATTTGGGGTCAAACGACCATTTCACGGGGGTCGCCAAACAACGCAGTCCGCCATTTTTTTCCCTTTTCCTTAGCTGTGCTACTCCCTTTTATTCTATTGGCTTTTGAAAGCCAATAGAATAGACTTCCTTGAATAGAGTCTAATTCTATTGGCTTTCAAAAGCCAATAGGAATTGTCCAGGCTGTCTCTGCCCTGCTGAGCCCGCCAAAAGTCCCATTCTGCAAACGGTGCTGCACCAGTTGAGTAGTCCTCGACTTACGACCGGTTGAGTAGTCCTCGACTTACGACCGGGTGGGGGTCGCGGCATTAAAAAGGTTGAGAACCACTGATCTAATATTATCCCGTTCTTTGGCATTTATCTGATTGAGAAGAACAAGATTAAAGCAGAAATCTTGTTTGGACCAACACACTGAAGATACATTCAGATATCTTTGTATTCCAAGCAGCTAACTTTACATATAGCCTAGGTAATTAAAGTTTGAAAATTACACATAAAAACTTGCAAAATGTACATAAAGTAGTCTGCAACTTAAAATCGTTTAGCGACTGTTCAAAGTTACAATGGCATTGAAAAAAGTGACTTATAAGCATTTTTTGCATTTATAACCACCAGAGCATCCCCTACAATCACATGATCAAAATTCAGGTGCTTGGCAAATGTATTTATGACGGTTGTGGTGGGTAACATCTTTATTAAATCATTTGATATAACAGAAGTCATTGAAGAAGCTTTCAGGTTCTCCAGAGCAGCATCAGATTTATGTATTTTAACAATTTCTATCAATTAATAAAAAACAGAATAACAAAATAACAAGAGTGTTGGAAAGGACCTTGGAGGTCTTTTAGCCCAAGCCCCAACTCAAGCAGGAGATCCTATACCACTTCAGACAAATGGCTGTCCAATTTCTTCTTAAAAACCTCCAGTGATGGAGCATCTACAACTTCTGAAGGCAAGGCATTCCACTGGTTAATTGTTCTCACTGTCAGGAAATTTCTTCTTAGTTCTAGGTTGGTTCTCTCCTTGACTAGTTTCCAATAATGCCACAAATAATGATAACTCTTAAAAGAACAGTAACATTTTAAGTAGCCCCCTGCCAATAGTTTCAGAAGGCAAAGCATACATTTGCACAATTTTTGGTAAGGTGACTAAAGGTCTATGGGGGCAGCATATTATAGAGTTGGTTACAGCAACAGGGAAGGTGTTGCTCCTGGGCCCTGGCACCCTTCTCCTCCTAGACCAGGGGTCTTCAAACTTGGCCCTTTTATGACTTGTGGACTTCAACTCCCAGAATTCCTCAGCCAGGCACGCTGGCTGAGGAATTCTGGGAGTTGAAGTCCACAAGTCATAAAAGGGCCAAGTTTGAAGGTCCCTGTCCTAGATTGAGGGAATCTGGGACATCTCTTAGCAGAACACAGACATGTTGGCCAGAGTCAACTTGAAGAAGACAGTCCCATAGAAACCTGGTCTCTTCTCTTGCTCTGTAGGTCTTTATACTTGAACTACCTCAAATTGTATTTGGAAATCTATTGGAAGCCTATGCAGCACTCATAAAAAGTATGTTATATTGTTGAATTGGTCTGCACAATGCAAGCTGTTATATTTTGTATCAACTCCACTTTCTGGGCAGTATTCAAGAGGAACTCAATATAAAGTGTCTTGCAATAATGCAATTGTAAAGCAATGATGGCCCCCTGAACAAAAATGGGCACAGATGAGCATTAGCAAACCCCTGAGGACAACTTCCAGCTCCTGATCTAAGTGGAGCTGCCCATCCAGGAGCAAACAAGTTGTAGATCTGCTCTTTGGAGAAAGTGTGTGACCCTCCCACAGCCAATCACCAGTCAAGATTTCATTTAGCTTCATCTTTTAGCTTCATCTTGTTTGTACCAACCAGATCCTTGCAGTTTCCAATTGATAAGGACTTTTGTTGGATCTCCTGTTTGATTCTGGATGGAAATGGTTAAGGGTTCTGAAATTTTCTTGGTTCATAGCATTCTTCCTGGTATCTCTGTATGCTGGGGTGCCCTGGGGCAGCATAGCAAACTCACAAACAGTTGAGCTCCACTTATTAAGTAGTAAAATATCCCACAGCATCCCTATGACTTTGCCCGGGGCATTGCAGTACAGAGTTTGGGAACTATACTTATAGCCTATCAGCATATTGATGACACTTCGCCCTGAACCAAGGATGAACCTCCTCAGGAGGTTCACGTAGATGTTAAATAGGTGTGACATATAATGAGAAAAGGAGCAAGAATTTCCCTGTTCAACTTCCATCACCAAAATTTGCATATCAAACTAAAATAAGTTAAAGACGCTGGAGCAAAGTCTTAATTACTATGAAGCAGACATCATTTTCAATACTATATTAACTTATCTGAAAACAACTTGTAGCAAATGGTAAAGAATTCTTTCCAGAAATGTTGGGGTTGCAACTCCTTAAATTCCAAGCTACTGTAGAATAGTTTTGAGTGAGTTTTTGGAAACTGAAGTTCAAGATACATTGAAGGCAACAGGTTAAGAAGGATAGTTAAGACCGCTTAAGTGATGACACTAGTTATATCTAAGTTGATGTGACAAAGAAACACACACAACATTTAATCTGGCAATTGAATTAATTCACCTTATTGGCTAAATAAAACACCGAACCTTAAATAAAAAATTGAGATTTGCTGGTGAGTCTAAGATACACATGTATACACACATTAACAGGTTTAGAGCTAAGTTTTGCACATCGGGATTTTTCAAATTTTGTAACTTTAAGACATGTGGACTAACTCCCAGAATTCTCTAGCAAGGGAATTTTGGGAATTGAAGTTCACACATCTTAAAGTTGCCAAGTTTGGAAAACACCAATATAAATGTATCTGCTTTATGATTCTGAACATGTCCAATAACTAATTACCCATTATATGGAAATCTAAAAGCTACATGTGTTTCCAGGCATAAGTAAAATACAAAAGTTCCTTATTAGATAGAAAACACAAAGGAAAACTTACTGGGATGAAGCAGGATTTCAAAAGGGATACGGTCAATAAGAAGCTTTTTGTAGGAGTTTTTGTTATTAAAAGCTCCTTTTCAAATACATGAACAAGATGGATTATGAAATGAGATGATATGGTTAAATGTCTATGAAAATTCTCACTCATCCGGATCACGGTTGTCCCAAAATGCTTTTTCAAAAGGCAGCTAGACTTTGTTTTTCCTTGAAGACGTTTCACTTCTCATCCAAGAAGCTTCCTCAGACTTATATACTGCCCTATAGAACTGGAGAAGCTTCTTGGATGAGAAGCAAAATATTTTCAAGGAAAAACAAAGTCCAGTTGCCTTTTGAAAAAGGCACCTTTGGGATGATATAGTTAACTTTTTGTCAGGGTAAAAAGTAATGTTTATGAGTGTGTGGTGATGGTGGGTAATTATTTGATTGGAACTACAAAATAAAAATAATACCTATAGTTTAGTTCCATGTTTTTTCTAAGAAAAAATAAGGCAAAGAAGGCATATTGATCCTTAGCAAAACATACATCTAATAAATTACAAGAGCACCACCATGTGGTTATGTTTGCTAAGAAATCTTCAGGCTGGTTTGTCTCGTGTAAGTAACGTTTGTCTTTAGCCAACCAGAATTTATTATCTTAACATTTCCTATATTCTCATAATCTTCTTTAATCTTCTCATATTTTAGAACTGGAATTATCTTTCCCAATGTCCCAACCATCAAATTTCCTTGTTTTCCCCATGAGAATTAATTGACTTGAACAAAGCCGAACAGATCCATATTCCTCTCTTATTTAGTTCCCTTATGAAATATGTATGTCTAAATCTCCTTCATTAGCTAAATTATCTCCCAAAAAAACCTGACCATGCATTAAAAATTCGTCCTTACTTGACAGTTTAAAACATGTTAAAGTATTAAGGACAAAATTCTAGGTTCATAAGACCAACACAAAAAACATTGTAAATCTCCATCATGTGGTCACAGGATGATACAAATGGCCATGAATGCAGACCAGCTGCTAAGAGCCCCGTTGCAATAATGTGACTGGGGGGGGGGAGACAATTATCATAAGTAGCTCCAGGGAGCTCTGTTGGAACTTTGAACAATTGCTGAGTACCTGTGCTGATCTGG